TGGACATGAACTAAAGGGGGTGAGGAATTGCTGGAGGGGCAAAGAGGAAAAAATTGGGACAACTATAATAGCATAATCAGTAAAATATATATTTTAAAAATACTAAGGGTATTCTGCAGGCAGAAAAAAGAATTACTCCAAATGAAAGGTCAGTAATACAAGAAGGAATGGGGAAAAAAAAGGAAATACAGTAAGTCTAATTGAATAATAATAGCATAAAACAACAGAAAAACATCTCTGTAGTTAAATATATATTTATATTTATATATATGCACTTGAAAACATGGTAACAATGAAATACATAATGAAAGAAAAGTGGCTTTAATGTTTTTAAAGGTCTTGCATTACCTGGAAAAAGGATGAAAGTTTCGAGTAATATTGCACTTTGATAAGTCAAGAATACATACTAGAATTTCTTAGGCAAATACTAAAGGAATAGTAAAAGAATATATAATCCCAAGATAATAAAATAAGGAAATAGAAATACTATTTTTTAAATCAACTCAAAACAAAGCTAGAGAGGGGAAAAGTACATGTAACAGGTGAGAGACATGTTTTCATTCACATATTTTCTTATTGTTGTTCAATTGCAGTTGTCCCCATTTTTCCCCATTACTCTCCCCGGCCCTATCCACTCCCCACAAAAAAATTTTTTAAATTTTTAAACATTAATGTCAAAAGTCATTATGCCACTTCACTTATTTTTATAACAAGCATTGGCAAAATACAAAGAAATATCGAGCCCACACACACACCTAACCTTTATAAATTTCAATCTCCTCATCTATTCAATTTGTTTCCATTGTGACTAACTTTTCAATATCTTATTTCACCTTATCTTTTCTTATTTTACCACAGATAGACTAATGAACATTACAATGTACAAATATCAAACAAAAAGAAACAGGAACAAAAAACCCAGACAGCTAACTGGCTTATAAATACTGCATTAATTCCATAATAAAATATTAATTTGCCTTTAGTGATCTATGTAACATTACTAACTGAAATTCATACATTAAGGAACTTAAAATATTCTTGCAATTATTCCATGAAAAATATTACTCTAACATTTTTAATTCACTTGCTAATTCACTGAAAGAAAAATTCCAGAATAAAATTATAACTTTTTGCACACTCATCAATGTCAGCAACACACAGGTGCAATGTGTACCTCTATCAGAGAATAATTAATGTCTTTAGAGCCAAAAACACTTAAGCAAATAAAATATGAAACTCCAGTCACTACCGATCCTCCTAGAAGCAAATGAAACTACCTGCCATGTACTAAACATTTTTTTTATTTTAGTGTAGATTGGTAGTGCTGTTTTGTGAGGAGACATTTTAAATAAGGTAGCCTAAGCTCTTCTAAGGAAAAAATGCCATTATGGTTAAATCAGAATACTATACTGGCGTCAGCATATGAGGGGGACACACCCAAACACAGGGAATTTATTTATAAAAAATTGTGTATTTATTCTTCCATTTTTAAACTTCAGTCACCTTCAAAATACTCTCCATTTGATGAAATACACCCATAAAGACTTTTTTTTCCACTGCACAAAACAGTTTTTTAATTCATTTAATTTGGTGCCTTTCAGTGCTTCTGCCTTTTTTCATTTTGCCTCTTCCACATCAGCAAAATGTTTCCCTTTGAGGACTTTTTTCTTCCAGGAAAACAAAAAAAGTCGCTCGGGGCAAGATTGAGTGAATAGTGAGGGTGGAGGATGGGCCTCATGCCATTTTTGGTCAAAAACTGCTGAACACTCACTGTGGTATGGGCAGGTGAGCTCATAAATCATTCATCATGAAATGAGCAAACACATAAAAGTATTCAAAAACATTCACTGAAGCCAAATGCAGCCTCTCACAACAGCACCAGCTGGTGCACTGATACAGATGGCTTCCTAGAACACTCGCCTACCAGGAGAAGCCTGTACTACAAGGAGGCTGCCCTCCAGAAGTTAATTCCTGCTTTTTGAGGGGTCCCTCCTTGTAAAATACTATACTGATATCAAATGATAGTGTCTCTGTAAAGAAATCAAAGGATCTTTTATTAAATATTCAATCCCAGTTTTACAGATATAGAAACTAACAAGTAATGGTACCAGAGCTATATCATGGGCACCAAATTATGCAGTCATTTCCAGGCCTAGTGCAGTTAGAGTCAACTAGATTGACTGCCTTTCTGTACTGGCTATGGAACAAGGTGGTCAGAGCATGGTGCCAAGAGCCTTCTCTATACAACAGTGGTTGCTTTGGTGCCATACAGGGCACTAACAGACATGTATTCTTATCTAACCTTCACAACAGTCTCTTCAGGGACTGTGTACAGACTCTTCTCTCATCCTCAAAGTGTCCCACCCAGCCACCTCCCCTATTCACCTACCAACTCCTCCTCATCCTTCAGGTCTTACAAGTCACTTCCTCAAGAAAGCCTGCCCTGCCACCTCCAAATCAAGTTAGGTTCCCTAGTTATAGGTTTCAGAGTTCCCTGTGGTTTACTTCAAAAGACTTACGCACCCTGTTGCTGAAAACAAGGTACCTAATGCAAGGTCCTGGGTACACAAAAGGCACTCAAGAAATACCTGTTAAATAAACAAACTTGAATTTATGATTCCCCTAACTTTACAAATAATAATAATAATTAAGCTTTAAAATGTAAGTTATACATGAAGTGATATAGCCTGGAAATGGCACAGACCAGTTGAGAATGCAAGTGTTTGTGACTCTAATTCCTATGCTCTATTCCCATATACTGCAATGAAGTGTGCTAGCACCAGAATTCTTTCAAATTAATATTATCTTTGTATTAACTTTCTCTGAAAAAAATGAGACACTTTTTAAATGGAAAATTATGAGTTTATATATAAGTAAATCACATCTAAGAATGCAATATGCCTTCCAAAAATCACCCTGTACTAAAACAAGAATGGTTAAAGCGAATTTGCAAACATAAACCACAAAATGTAATCACTTGTCTCTATCCACCTGAAGTAGCAAATCCCAAAGTTTTAGTATTGTTGCTAAATCCTTTGCAGCTTAAAACTGTCATTTTATTCCTAGTGCTCTGTAACCATAACTTTTTTTTTTTAATGTACCACTAACTTGACTTTACTGGCCTCTTTTTCACCCATTATCACTGGCTTCAAAATGTAACAGTAATTTGAGATAGATGGGCACACTGTGGCAAAGACTGACCAGCACAACCTCTGCTTAGCACTAGAGGCCCAGCCCAGACTGGATCCGCGTGCCAGGAAGTTGTCTTGGTTCAGAATAATGCTAAGGGTGACCAGCCATTAACAGAGGGTGCCAAAGCTGGCACTTCTACTTACTGGTTTGTTTAACCAGTGGCAGTTGTTCTTACTACGAGCAATTTCATGTCAAAACACTGTTCAAAATGGTAATGGGATATTCTTACCAAAAACAAGTACAACAGTCACTGACAGGCTAAAAACAGTAAGTAGGTACCAACATCAAGACTTAATGTTTGGTACACGATGTTTATTTGAATGCCTCTATGACAACTCAATTCTTTAAATACAGAATCAGCAAAGGCATTTCTGTTAACTCAGGATACCTATACTTGAAATTAAGACTATGGTTTTCCTTTAAAAATTACTACTTTTATTAGTATAATTTTTCTTTTGACATATTTCAATCTCCTCTGTAGAATATAACATAGGATTAATATTCATTCTAAGTAATAAATTAGACTATGCAACCTTTATAATAAAAGAACAGCAAACTTTGGAATATTTTTCTTAATTTTACAGTCTGACGAAATGAAATATAAAAGCAAATAAACCACTATTCATTTGATGCTGGCTAATTTTAATTCTTATTAAGGTGACTTCAGGGGGGGAAAAAAAAACAAAAACGATTTCCCCCTAACAGAACTTCCCAGAGATTCAACATATGAGGGAGTTGACCAAGGTGATCTTTAAAGTTCTGTCGAAATTTTCTGAGCTACTAAATATTAAATACCTATCCCAAAGACTTAATTTTTTTAAATAAATGGAATATAGGATTGAAATCACTTTGTTCCATCAAGCGAAATATTCAAGATCGTATCCCCACTTTTCCTTTCCATTTGTGCCACATTATTTCCAATGACTGGGTATTGGCTTCAAAAATCTTTCCCAGTCCCATAAAGGTCTCATTTAACTCCTGCTAAAGTCTACTGACTACAAAGCATCTATGGATTAAAATGGGAGGGGAAGCAGGGAGAGTTCGATCTTCGATTTATAGATGTCCGCAAGTGGATTTATAGATTCCTCACATTTTCTGAAATTAAAACACCTGCGAGGAACCATTCTCACGCGTTAGATAATGCCCCACCGCACAAGGTTGTTAGCTTCAAACTAACTATTCCGCAAAGTTTCCAAAGACGCACAGATTTCCAGGCTCTCCGAATCCCTCATCCACCTCATCCTCCTCTTGCCTAGTTGAAACAAAGTTCCGCAGCATGAAGGCACTAATTTAAAAGCACGAAGTTTGGCTCAATCTAGCCCACTTGGACTCTGGAAGACTCAAGTGAAACTTGCAAGGGAGACACTTCTCCCCGCGGGGCCGAAACTTGCTCTGGGGGGAGGGAGCAGCGGGTCTCCCCTCCTCCGGGATCTGCTCGACCTAACCCCCTTCCAGGAGCCCCCTTCACCGGCCGTCAGGTCTCTCGGCGCAGTCCCCGGCAGACCCGCCCCGTATGCCCCCGGTGCCCCAGCGCTCCCACCCGGCGCCCGCCAACCTGCCAATCAGACCCGTAGAACCCCGCAATCAAGGTTCCAGGGGGACAACAAGGACGGCCCCACACACGGTTCCATAGCCTGGCTCCCACGAGCGCTGAAGGGGCACCCGCAGATCCGTCCACCTCCCCCGAGTCCGGGAATGGCGGCGTCCAGCTCCACGGGACCAAGTCGGAGTCCTTGCCCCAGAGTAAACCGGGGAAGACGCCGCGGGCGGCCGGCCACTGGCGGTGGGAAAGGAGGAAATTAAGTTACCTCCAGACGGTCCCAGCGGAGGCAATGAAGGGAGCAGAGCGGGGAGTCCCGGTGGCCGAGCAGGTCCCGGCGCGGCGGCGGCTACTGCAGTGCCCTCCGCCCCATTGTTTCCCTTCCAAGAGGATCCCAGCGTAGCCGAGCCCGGGAACCAGGAAGTTCCCCGGCGCGACACCTCCTGCCGCCGCTATGGAAACGGCCCCCGCCTCCAGGGCGGCTAGCCGGGGACCCCGCCTCCGCGCTGCCAGCCCCGCCCGCCTCACGGGCCGCCGCCAACCGTCACCACGGTGGCCGTGGCCGCCGCCATCTTGGCGCGGCCCTGGCGCCCGAGCCCCGCGGCACGCCGCTCCGCGTTCCCGCCGCCCGCGGGGGCGCGCGTCCAGGTTCAACGCATCCTCCTCTAGGAGCCGGGACTCTGAGGCTCTGATCCCCGGACGCTGAGGGAGAGAAGGAGGGGGCTTGGGGCGCACTGGAGACTTTGGAAGCACTGCAAGAACGCGACACACAAGCCGGCATCCAATGGACAGGTCAAGGGATGGCTGGGACCAAGCGTGAGGTCAACAGAGTAGTAACCAAGATCCTTGGTCGATGCAGCCAGATTGCCTCGGGTTTCATTTCTGCCTCAACGACTTAGCAGACAGTCTATTTAATTTTCTCTTTGCCTCAGTTTCTTCATCTTAAAGCGGCATAATGGTACCTGCCTCTTAAGACTTACTTGAAACAAGCAAATGCCTGGTCGTTAGTAAGTGTTGGAGATAATCATTCATTTAATAAAACTACATTAGTTTGACAAAATTCATAGTTCTGTAATTTTGCAGGAACTTAATGTAAACGTTCAAATCAGCACTACTTTAAATAGGCTACTGTGTAAGATCCCATTGCTACTTAAAAGTTGCCAAATGTTCACCTTTTGTCCCATCTTTCTCTAGGTCAGCATTTTAATTTCATGGAAATTGTCAAGAGTTTTAATCTCCAGAGTCTTCTATTAAGAGGTGCCATTAGAAGATGAATGATGTAAACTTTCCAACACCGTATTTAGCTGACAGTTAAATGATTTATTCAGTAGAAGTTAGAAAAGTTAGGGTGTGCAAATAACTAAAAGGCTTCCTGTCCTTGATTCCAGGAACTAGAATTACTAAAGCTGGCAACTCTGCATGGTTGTCATTATCTCTCTTTTCCAGCTGGTGAAAACTGACACTAAGAAACTGGGTCCTGTGTGCAACATGGGAGAGGAGGGATGGAAGGAGGGTCACATATTAAAGATGCAAACTTTAAGAACTCTCCATAAGATTAGTTGTCAGTCTCTAAGCCTTCTTCTAGCTCACAAGTATGATTTTATTTATACACTTTTAAGAAAATACAAATTTATTCTTCCCTGTGGGTCTCTTTTTCACTCATTTAAACCAGATTTGTGAAGACTAGTGTTTACTTTATGATGCTGATCCAAAAATAGCATAAATCGTTTGATATTTGAATTGGAATAAAAATAGATCAGGAGTTAGGAAGACACAGGAAACTTTTTTCAACATCCAAACACTTCTCCAAAAGTTACGGAATGCTCTGATTAGCTATCACCTAGACTGAGATATCCTGAACTTCTGAAAGGCAGAAACACCCACTCACATAATTTTGTGCCCCACCGATTTCTTTGCACATAGTAGGACTTCAATAAATGATTATTGAATTAAAATGCCATATTTTGCCGATTGGTGTGACTCAGTTGTTCCATTGTCCTGCAAAGTGAAAGGTCACTAGTTCAATTCCCAGTGAGAGCACATGCTTGGATCATGGGTGGGTTCCATCCCAACTGGAAACACGCGAGTGGCAATCAGATTGTGCATATATATCAGAGGCAACTGATCAATGTTTCTCTCCCTATCTCCCTCCCTTTTCCTCTCTAAAAATAAATAAAATCTTTAAATAAATAAAATAACCATGTTTTAGGTCAGCTCTCATCATTTAAGGAGACCTTGGGAATGACAGAGACATGCAAAAGATGTTACTCAAGGGACATCACTGCAAACACCATAAACAAGAACCCCAAGTCCCTAGTTAATGAGTTCATGGGAATTTGGATGAACAGCCTGGATTTGGCCAAATAAAGTAGAAATTTCAGATTTGCTTTTTCATAAATTATATGGGTAATGTTTCAAAACTTTATTTTGGACTTCATTATGGGCACCATTGACTCAATTTTATACTCCAATAACACTCTGATGCTGTAGTATTAAAGTTTAGAAATCCCCACATTTTTCCCCAAGTCAAAGTATCATCAGTGAGTCATGTCACCTCAATATAAAACTTGATTTGCTCTTAGGTATAACTTCTGGGGCTTGCCATAATTTTTATTATTAAGTATCTTAGAGGTATTGTTAAAGTATAAGTTCAGGTTTTTATAGTTCTTATTTACTAAGATATCTCCAGGGTAGTACTTGACATATGGTGGGCATGTAATTTCACTTATCTCTGGCATTTAAAACATTTTAAATTTATGTCAATGATTTCTAAGGAAATAAAAGAGTGATTTTTCCTCTAAGTCAGAATGAGCACATTTTTTCTTAAAAGGAAAAGATATAAAACACGAGAACAGTTATAAAAAAATATATAGAAAAGGATGGGTATGGATATGTTCCACTAAAAATTTACCTATAGAAATAGGTGGTTTTGACCCACAGGGCCATATATTACCAACCCCTAAATAATTATATTTAGGTTATATTCACTCCATGATTATATTCACTCCAACCTGAAATTCCAGATATTAAAATACCCTTTAACTGAAGAAAGGGTAAAAGCTTGATATCAATTAAGTACCAAAAGTGAAAAGATTTGTGTTACCAATTAAAATATCTCAGCTCTGGCTGGCGTGGCTCAATGGATTGAGTGCCAACCTGGGAACTGAAGGGCCACTGATTAAATTTCCCATCCGGACACATACCTGGGTTGTGGGCTAGGTCCCCAGTTGGGGGTGTGTGATAGACAACCACACATTGATGTTTCTCTCCCTCTTCCTTTCTCCCTTCCCCACTTTCTAAAAATAAATAAAATCTTTTAAAAAAATATGCCACAAATATCCAAGGTTTAAATCTATAACTAATGGACTAGGATAGATGGATATTTGCATTTCACTTTTGCAAGGGTTATATGTTATGCTAATGAAAATAAAATGTTTCCAAAAATAAAAGTATATGTTTGAATCCCCCACAGGATGCCATAATAACCGAGACCAGAGGTACAATTTGTGGTGAGAACATAAAAACAGAGAACATAGAGAAAAAATTTCCCCAAAGCAAACCATCCATCCTTCACTCACATCTTCAGAATATGGATGAAATTGCAGGTCCTTAGACTTTTCTGTAAACTGAGACTTTGAAATGTGAAACCATGGCTATCTGATCCATTTAATTTTTTTTTTTTAAGAGGTAAGCAGATAGTTTCCTAAGGAAGCAATCTTTTTTTTTTTTTTTTTTTTTTAAATAAAGCTGTGGGAAGCCTTGTGGGACACATTTTCATCCTTGCAAGCAGCAGAAGTTTCTGATATTTCATAAGGAACCAATGCTCCTCCATCAGTTAGGAAAGTCAGTTCCACTGACACTGCACATGGTTGTTCTTCATGGTCAGAAAAAAAAGTCAACATCTGTTTATTCAGTATAAGTGAAAAAGGAATGAAGAACCAACAGCCACATCCACACTGTTCATATTAAAAAGTCATCCTTTGGTTGAAATGAGAAGTTAGTGACTGCAAAGCAAGGAAGACAAGTCCATGGAAAGATTGTGAACCCCATAAAATTGTATACAAGATGTTGTGTATGCAGTTTGTTACTTATAACTGTCCAAGGTTGTCTTGTTTCATTTGTTGATGTATCATTTTGTTTTGTTTTTTCTGTCTCCCTATCTTAAGAATATACATGCCATGCGATTGGGAAGCTTCCCTGTCTTCTTCCATAGTCTATCCCTTAGTCCAGATCAGTGTCTGATACTGAATCAGCTCTCTATAAGTAATTGTATAAGTAATGAAGGAAGGGAAGGAGAAAGAAAAATAGGGAGGAAAGAATGCAGGAAGAAACAAAGATATACAAATACCCATTTGGGGAGGAAATTTTCTAACTTTTCTCATATACTCAAAAGTGTCTGTGACTCAAAAAAGAATAAAGCAGGAATAACTAGTTTTCCACTACAAAGGCTGCCTCTCATTATCTCCTCTGCTTTTTTGCTCACAAGCCACCCTGCTCCTAATTACATACCAAAATGGTTATCATGGTTTCCCAAAAACCTATAATGATGCCTGTCGCTTGAAAGATGTCTCCTTATGTTTTTATAGCTTTCAAGAATTTCTTCTGCCTGCTCAACTTTGTAGTTGCCATATTTCACCTCTCCATTTGGCCACTTAGATGGCATGCTATTCATTTATAATTTGTCTCATCAAGCAGAGTGTATTAAAAAGTATTGTAAGATATTGAAGAAAAATGAAGTACAATTTCAAGGCATTTTTATCTCTGTTGTCGGGCAATAAAAATTTTGCCTCTGTGTAGATAATTTTTAAATTAACTTTTAAACTCTGGTGCACAAATCTGTATAAGTTGTATGGTAGATAGTTTTCAAAGATGTCCTCCCCTCCCCCGGCAGTGAACCATACTCCTAATATTTACATCCTTTTTTAGCATTCTTCTCTTGAATCTAGATTGGCCATGGCTTACTTTTGACCAAAGGAATAGCCTGGAAATGATGCTAAGTGATTTCTAAGTCTAGATCGTAAGAAGTCTTGTAGCTTCCACCTGGGTCTCTGGAACACTAACCCTCTAAAACTCAGGCACCATGCTGACAGGGGCCCAAGCTGCAGAGAGAGACCACATATAGGTGGTCTGAATGAACCTTTGCTGAGCCTGGAAACAGCCAGCATCAGCTGGTAGCCATGTGGGTGAGCTCTCTTGGGTGTCCAGCACAGTTAAGCCTTCAGATGCCTTGAGCCCCAACTGTGTGACCCCATGAGAAACCCTAAATGAAGATGACTCAGGTGAGCCCAGTCAACCATGGAACCATGAGAGCAGTAATAAATTGTTGTTTTAAGCCACTGACTGTAGGGTGGTTTGTTTTTTGGGTGGTTTGTTACCCAAATGCAGATAACTGGAATAAATTGATTAAAAATAAATGCTGAAGCTA